CGATGTCTGGTGTTTTGCTCAAGGGACTAGGCCAATCGAATAAAGACATATATTTTTATAACCTGATCGGACAGGATCTTGAATTGCTAATAAGATCCGAATGAGATTAATCGTTTAATGTCTAAAAACTATTTGTACAGTTTCCCAAGATTTTAGATGTTGTTTAATGAAAAGGGAAGGTGTTAGTGAGAAAGCAATAAACAAATATCAGTTCTGCAGTTGGAAATAAGATATTAAATGCAAAAAAACAGCAATGTTATTGACATCGTCTCTTCTACACGACTGAAACTTTTTAGGTTTTTTAGCCAATGAAAAGTATCTTCTAAGTTGCTGCTGATATTCTCAGTGGCCAAACTTATCCCCCAGTAACAATTAGGTTTCTAGCTTAGTGGTAATTGTTGGACTTGCGTGGAATTTTTATAATGGCAAACCAATGGGGGTTTATGCCTTTAGTACAACACCTTTAAGGAAAGAAAAAGCCCAAGTTGAACAATATAATACATTTTTGTTAAACTTGTTATTTGTGCGTGACAGAATCATATCTTCATTCACATATCGATATCTTAATGTTCTAAGCGGGTCTAAGAAGTTGTTTGATACATTATATTTGAGCGAGAGATCAATAACTTTATTTTAAAGGGGAAGTTTCGCCATCTGTCAGACCAATATTACTAAAGTCTCCGAAAGGGAGGGTCGTACGAAGATCGTGGTTTATTAGTTGGAATACGAGGATTCCTTTCCTCGATCAAGGGTAATCATAGATCTTATGCAAAGGGGCATATTTTATCGCCAGATTGTGGAACATTTTAAAATTGCACAAAAAATTCGCTCGTGAGCCTGTTCATGTCGACATTTTTCTTCCGTACAAATCGCCAGCTAAAAATATGTTAGATATTTTCGACCGATTTTGTACGCCGGCGATTCCATTCGCTGTCTGTTCGTGTCCGTCGTATTTTATCGTATGATCGACGGTAGAATTCCGCCAAGTGACATACGCTCTTAAAATTCGCTACGGTCGGGCGTTAAGAATCGCTGGCAAATTTACTCGGCGTGATCGGGCGAAAAATAACACATAACTTGAGGTCACTACCACTAATATATTTTAATGTGTTCCAGATATACGTGCAGGATCGGGTGAAGTTGATATTTATTTACCTATGAACTGTTCCTGTGAGATATACTGTATCTGGGTGAATGTAACGCTGAATTCATATTATTGTTTGTGTCCAAACAACTCAACTCTAGACGAAGATGGTTTAACTTGTATAGGTATGTACTATGTGGTCTTCCACATGGTTGCGAGTATGTATTCGACATCTATTGTCTGAGCAAAGTAAACAGTTTTTTTTTGAATTTTTTCTATTATTTTCATAAGAATCGGAAAAGCCGCCTCAATGTAGTTCTGGTAGTATTAGAACATCTTTGTGTTAAAAAAATTATTAAAGGGACATTTCGCTTTTTTTGTTGGTCGAAATTGTGTTCTGCTCAAATTTTTGAAATCTATATATACTTAAAACTATAGAAATGTGTCCCTTAACGTATCGACTAAAATCATCCAGTCGTTAATTTGTAAACGCCAAAACTATTCAAAAAGTTTACGTAATATTTAAAACTAATAAAAGTTGGAAACTGTTAGAAAACTACTATATGGATTTAAGTAAAATAAATGCCTTATTGTAGAGAAATATTTCTCCGACGTGTTCTAAAAGTTTCAACTAAAAATATCGAGCCATTGTAAAGATTAACACCAAAACTAGGTCAAGCTGCTTAATTAACAATTAGTACTCTTAGTTTTTGTTTGTCCACTTTTATAACAAATTCAGTTGCATCACAAAGACTTACATAGTATCCTTAAGATATTTTTCAGGTATAATTTACAACTTTTTTGATAATGAAAATTGTTTACAAAAAAGGCGGAATTCATCTTACATGAGCACACATTATGTTTACAAAATTTCTTTTAACAGAGGACAATTTTCAGCCGGAATGTGAGACTTCTAGGTGATACCAGAGAAAATTAAAAGATGGATACTTTATTGACAATTCTGGAATATACTTACAAAAAAATTATAGATTTTTACCCTTGACATCTATTCATGTAAAAACAATGTCGAAGGCTAGAATATTTCTGTTTCGTCGCACATTCTACCTCTTTTCGATGAATGGTTGAGTGTTAAATCCTCGACCGATTAAAAACTATTTCAAAGGCTAGACAAGTCCGAGCGCTTAGGATATTTTCATTCTAATCCATTCAACTCGGCGTCCCCGTTACACATATAAAGTTAAGAAACGTGTATTTGAAAATATTGGCATTTAAAGAAAAAAAGAAAATTTTAAGAAATATCATTAAAAGTGTCCTCGTTTATTCTGCAAACATGGCTTACAGATATTCTCTGTGAAAACCTTTCTTTAAAAGACGGTCATAATTCGACATATCTTTCATCTTGTTAATGACTCTTTCAGGTTCGGATGTTTTACGCCAAAGATCATTAAGCTTGAAAGGAGGAAACAGTTTGGTGGTAGGGCATTGGTTAGGCATAATTATACCCTGTATTATACTGATTACAGTTATACCGCTTGTTTATCTGGTTTGTAAGTATATTTCCTTTGTGAAATGGCCAATGTTTGACACGGAAGCCGCCAATAGACGGTGTCCGATGCGGGGTTATTGATACAGGGGTCTTGCAGACACGATTCGCTTCTATTATTTTTAACTGTATCGATAATCCCACACCGTACATTTTACGGGTCACCGCACCTTACTTATTCTAACCTGTAGACAATAAACTCATATTATTTTGGCTAAAAACTGCAAACGGTTAATATTCCCGAGCTGTCGTCAAACGTTCCCCAGTAAAAAACTAAATTGTTCAGTTTCTTTTAAAAGAGTTACAAGATCTCAAAAACCCAATTGAATTTTATTCCTTCTGATTGTAATAAACATTAACCTTACCTTGTGTACATTTAAGGCAAGGTTAATCCACATGCAGTGGAAACGTTTATTTGAAAAGATAGGAATTTTGTGTTTTAGTTCAAGGCTTGAAATCACTGTTATTATGACATGTTTATATTGTGATACGACCATAAGTGAATTTTCTAAGAGCGGAAGAATTTATTTTCATGATGAAAATTGATCGTTCGGTCTTCATTTTCCACTCCACAACCGATATCGAATCTCCTACAATTATTTAATTGTAGGCGATCCTTGTATCGGAAATTGATTTTCAAGGTTATGGAAAGCTAATATGTGGCTAATCATGTAACTTCCATAAAATCTCAGAATTTCTATTGACAAATTCAAATAGGTCAGTTGTATGAGGAGTGCATAGCGTGAAACTCGGGAGTTTCAGGTTCTGTTTTAATAGTTCTATATCGCTCTACAATTGATGTATTGAGCACTATTTTAACAGTGGTATTTCTATATCGCTCTACAATTGATGTAGTGAGCACTATTTTAACAGTGGTATTTCTATATAGTTCTACAATTGACGTATTGAATACTATTTTAACAGTGGTATTTCTATATCGCTCTACAATTGAGCACTATTTTAACAGTGGTAGTTCTATATCTCTCTACAATTGATGTATTGAACACTATTTTAACAGTGGTAGTTCTATATCACTCTACAATTGATGTATTGAACACTATTTTAACAGTGGTATTTCTATATAGCTCTACGATTGATGTATTGAGCACTATTTTAACAGTGGTATTTCTATATCGCTCTACAATTGATGAATTGAGAACTATTTTAACAGTGGTATTTCTATATCGCTCTACAATTGAGCACTATTTTAACAGTGGTAGTTCTATATCTCTCTACAATTGATGTATTGAACACTATTTTAACAGTGGTAGTTCTATATCACTCTACAATTGATGTATTGAACACTATTTTAACAGTGGTATTTCTATATAGCTCTACGATTGATGTATTGAGCACTATTTTAACAGTGGTATTTCTATATCGCTCTACAATTGATGTATTGAGCACTATTTTAACAGTGGTATTTCTATATCGCTCTATAATTGATGTATTGAGCACTATTTTAACAGTGGTTATAGTTTGTTTTATAATTGATTCTCTATTGTAGATAGACGACGACTAGCCAAATCACCTAAAAATATTATTAAGTTAGATCGGATGATTACAAGTAGACAGAATGGTAATATAGTGGCGTCAGTCATGCAAATAAACTCTAATTATGATATAGTAATGTCCAATTGTCCAGATAATCAATTACGAGAACTGCCAAGAAGGCATCTTAAATTAGCAAGGTAAATGTAACAAAATCTGTGTCCGCCTACTACCTATACCGTTTCGAAATTAACCCTCATGCTCTCAATATAGATGTTGATGAAAAAAATTTTTTTGAACAGCTATTTAATTTTCTTTCTGAGAAACTAACACTTTGTGTGACTTCCATCTGCCTGTAACATATTCTGCATTCCAAAGCGGGATGATTTGATTAATTTTAACAGTGCGATAATTTTTTTAAACCATATAACTATATACACGTGCATTTAGCCTGTTCTTCGAGAGAGAAAAAATTGTCTTTGATATGTAAGATTGTTTCCAAAAATAAAGAACCTGCCTTATGGTGAGATATGCCACACCGTGGTTTACAAGGTTTTATTGTTTTATTACAACACTAACTTTTCTACCTGATGATGACTGGAATTTAAATTTTACAAAGGACTATTACATGTATAACATGAAATCGTGTTCATTTATTTAAAACCTTCTTCTATACTTGGAGTCATTATTTCTTTATTTCCTGAAATAAAGTATACTTATTCACGCAATTGATAACCTTTCTAAGAATTATGTTCTGTATTGGGAATGCCTGTAAGCTTGAAACAACGTCTCAGTTTACTTTATAAAGAGTAAGTCAACATCTAAAAGGATTGAATCAAAGGATTAATACCCATATCCCGAGGGAATACAAAACCAATTTTATGTGTTCCTCTCTTTGCACTGATTCATATTACTATATATTTAAGGTTATTGGGTCATGGTGCATTTGGTGAAGTATATCAAGGATTTTTAGCGAGTGTTGCTCATCTTACAGAAGATCTCAAAGTGGCTGTTAAGGTGATTATACGTCTATAATCCTTAATCATATACCCAAAGACTTTTTTAATACTCTATCATTATACATTGCTATTTCATTACATGATCTTTAACATACAGACTCCGTAGAACAATTCCAATGTGGTTGAATGAATCTGAAAAAGTTATAGATGCGAGCCAGCGCACAAAAAAAGAAAAAAAGAATAAATGAAGTAAAAAAAAACACAGGATTTGTGAATAAGTGAATAAAAATATCTCGGTTAATATTGTAAAGACATATTTGTTTTGTTACTTTCTATATTGAGAAGAATAATAGAGTCGATTTTGTTTTTCTTTCCATCATTTGCATTGTTAAAACTAAAATTCGCAAATTTAGTCACTTATGACATTTTTGCTCTGATCCAGCGATATATCCCGCTCTTCACTTAGATTATGATATAAATATTTCAAAATATACATTGAAATGTAACACTTTATTCAAGTACTTGTCTTTGAGAATAAGATGTTTTTTTTCATATATTACAGACATTACCGACCTTATGTACAGAACAAACTGAAATAGATTTTATAACGGAAGCTGTAATACTCAGGTATGACATGTGTACGCAATAATACAAAAAATAGCTATCAATGAAATCACCGGATTTAACTGTAACAATGAATTGCATGTTACATAAAGCCATAATAATTGCTACATGTACCTTCACATCATAGCGATTAGCAGTTGCGTATGGTTGCTAATAGTAAAAGTGGTCATGAATACCGATCACTATTCTATGCAACTGATGATTGCTATGTTGTGAGGCCCCCTTAAGAGATATAGTCTTACGATCAAAATAAAAGAAGCAAAGAAACATTTACGATAAATATCAAGATTCAAGGTTTGTTTGACATCAGTGCAGAAAGTACATTCATTTTTTATAATTATTTATGTCGGCCGATTTCCGATCGACGTCTGTGTTTCCTTTAATATCAGAACATCTTGACCAGACTCCATTTTACTGACGTCAATTTTGCAATTATTAACCATTTACCCGATACACAAAACACCAAAAACATTTTAAATTTCTAAAATAATAGATATAATAGGGTTTGGCTTTTCATTTCAGCAAATTTAACCATCCGAATATTGTAAAATTAATCGGGGTTTGCTTTGATAAAACTCCTCGGTACATCGTTTTGGAACTATTGGATGGTGGTGATCTGAAAATGTTCCTGAGAGAATCCAGACCAACTCCAGTAAGCTCTCTATCCTTCATTGATCCATGCCCAGATAGGCCCATATTATTCTATAATCCAGTAGTAGGGGCCTTCTAACAAATACGTATGTTGAAACTTATGAGTTGAGCATGTATATACATGTATACGCGTCGAACACAACCGAAATCAGCAATCAGTTACCTCTATAGTTGCGCTCAAATCATAGCGATCACCAGTTGCGTATGGTTGAGAATAAAAGATAGACATTAAAGTTCGATTGCAACTGATGTAACTAATCTGCGAACGCAGACGATCAATTAATACGCAACACAGGGGCGCTACGCACGCCATCGTTACGATTTAGGACTAGTGGAATATGTTTCATTAGTTAAAATAGTGTTTGTTGAATGTACTCTGTGAACTTAACTCATTTCAACAATATGTCGTTGTGATTTTGTATCCAAATAAAGCAATTTTGTCAGACAATTAACGTAGATTTGTCGGCCATAAACAGAATTCTAATCGATTTAGAGGTATTCTAGTTCAAACATTAACGTCACACGGCTCGCCCTCGTGAATGTACCATCTCATTTAGAAGCTCATAGTGTGATACACAGAATTACAAAGAAACTACGGTACCCAATTATAAACCAGACTAAATTATGTACATTCTCAATATTCGTTTATAATATTCACTAGAATCAGTTTTTCAAATTCTTTGGAGACATCATAATATGACTTATAAAGGACGGCGCTACTTCACTTTTGTACCTGCACGATTTTAACCTTTTATCTACTAAAATACAACATAACGATGTTCCAGACCATTTTCTGATTACTTTCACTAAATTTCACTAATAATTTTTTGTTCGTAAAAAATATCGGCCCCCTTTGATTCTTGGTCTACTTGACAAAAGGGTAGTACTATTTTTTTTTAGACCTATTTAATTCACAAGTTGAAAATATTTGAGCAATAGGAACAATCGCTTGGAATCGATAATCAACATAAGCATCTGTTCTCCTTTCTTTGGAATTTATTTTAGTGGTTATATTTCTTATTTTCAGTCCCGAAGTCCAGGTTTAAAAATCCTAGATTTATTACGGTTGTGTCATGATGTTGCTTGCGCTTGTCAACATTTGGAAGAAAAACACTTTATACACAGGTAAAGACACCATTTGCCATAAGAAAAGAATTTTTTTGTATTCACTATTTAACAGGTGGTTGGATAATGGCATTTTATGGAGTGAATTGTCCACTGGTTTAGATTTTAGAATCAATGCAATCGAAATTCTCTGAAGGAGAAAATTTGCTTAAAGACAGCATTACTCCACTCGGTCACTACGACTAACAGATATAGTGGCCTAAATGTTAATTTACGTAAACATAGACGAAGCCTCTGAGTTTCCTTCTGAAATCGGGTGTGGATAGCCGAGAGTGGACTCTATCATCAGACTATGTAAATATTTAAATATAAAGCCGCCGATCGGGAGGATCATCATCTCCGCCAATTGTCTCGCGTGCCGATTCTTTCAGCAGAATGGTCTTACTACAGACTGTGCATCCGTACACATATGTTCGCTCAACTGAACCGGTCGTGTGACTTTCACGTGACTGATAGCATTTGGGTTAAAAGTTTGATCCTGTGAAGTCAAGAGCAGGACGTGTTTTCAAATTTGATTAGAGAATTGATTAAAGAAATGTATACAAATAATATAAGACCTATATAAACCTTCACATTATATAACATTCCCTTTGAGGCCAAAGTGATATATTATGTCATTTGCCAATTTACAAGCAAATTGCTATTCTGGGATGATCAGTTAATTGTATTTTCTATTATAGAGATATTGCAGCAAGAAATTGCTTGTTAACAACAAAGGGACCTTCACGCAGAGCCAAGATAGCAGATTTTGGTATGTCACGCGATATTTACAGGTCTGTATAATACTATATAATTTTTTGGTCTTTTGGACAACTGACATTAAACTATCAGAAAGCCTTTAGCAATCGTATTTGAAATAGATAGTACAAAAAGCTTCACAAACTCTTAAAAATACAAATTCTGTTTTAAGAGATAATTATCAATAATTATCCGACTAAAATCAAATTAGACTTGAACATTATTCAAATATAAGCCAATATCGCTACGTTTGTATTTCCCAAAAGAAATCCAATAGGTTCCTTTCATTTATGATATAGGACAATGTTTAAAATGATACAATCATACCAATTCCCATCCCAAACGATAAGATTCCTAGTACCCGAAATAACAATATATTAGTTTTACATTTGTCTATTGTTGAAAAGAAAAACATGAAGCTTCTGTTCTATGTTTCGATACCTGATTGAGCTCTTAATGACAGGCTAAGTTATGCAGTATGCTTTCATCTTCTAGATTTTCGCCATATTTCTTTATTCATGACTAAAGGAAAATATATTTGCCGATCCAGGCCTTCTAGACTGGTGCAGCCCGAATATGCTACTCGTATTGTATCAAACGAGGTAACAACCTGTATTGGCAGATTGAGATATGTATTCAACGATGAGCTTTTAAGTATTGAACACAATCACAAGAGGTCGATATCATGTTAGGCACAATTTTACCATTCCCTGCTGGTGGCTTACATTTTTGTTTACATCACATTAATCGTAGATATATCATAGATAGATCATGGATTTATAGTCCTTTTTTGATGGAATAAATCTCGGCAACATCGTTTTCAATTGATTTTGTATTTATTTTAACAACATTTTGACAACAAGTTAGCAAATATGGTCATACTGTACACTTGACAACTTTCTTTTTCGACAACATGGTATCATGTCATCATGTTGCTGGAAATATCAGAAATACTGTCAGTGTCTGTTAATGTCAAACTACGAATTACACTCATACACAGTAATTGTATATTATTTATTTTGTAACTGGTATTTTTTATAATGGTGCTTAAAAGTTGTTTTGACCTAGTCAATTATTTTCATTTCACTTTTCATTTCCATTTCTTTGGGGACATGTAATCATTTTGTTTTACAGCATTTAAGTATTTTTTTCTAGATCTGATTATTATAAAAAGACAGGAAAAGCATTATTACCGGTGAAATGGATGCCGCCTGAAGCCTTTTTAGATGGAATATTTACAGCCAAAACAGATATATGGTAATTAAATGCATAATTGTATTATTTAACAGAAGTCATTTGTGTTAAAGATGAAAATTGCAGGCATTTATTCTAATTCTACACAACCAAATCTGATTTTAAGTCAATAAACATGATAATGCTGTATTATATAAAGTACAATTCTTATAACATTTACATTGAAATGGAGAAAACACCATTAACAGGTCATTAAGACATTTCTGACAATGATTGACGTATGACTTTGGTCGTCGAAAGACATTTCTGCACATCTGCAGATGAGTCATTTCATAAGGACAAACAGTTCACTAGGTTTTTATGTAGCATAAATAGTTATTATAACTTTACAATTAATGTATTAATATCTATTTAACTTACCTAAATTTATATGTACTGCTCGCGTTGATATTTTTACTTTTACCTGGCCCCGGGGCCAGAGGCCTTTTTTTCATACTGACCTGAGATTTTACTCAAATTTAAAGCAGTTATTACAGGTGCATAACTGTAAAGAAAAAAGTATATCAATCTATTCCTTAGGGCATAATGTTTCTGACATTATCGCATAAATCTACTAATTTTTCCTTTTTTGATTCGAAGGGCATTATGAATTTGATTGAATACTCAGCTGAGCATTAGGAATGTTTTGTGAACCTGAAGCAAAGGTGTGCACAATTATTTTTGCATATATTAAAGTCTTTGTTGTCGCCAATCTCTTCCAATATCTTTGCCTTGTAAGTGATTATTGTACCTAGCAGATTATATTTGCCTGTAAACGCAGTTAATACTAATACGATTGCAAATTTAGGTCGTATGGTATTCTACTGTGGGAGATATTTTCTCTTGGTCATATGCCTTATCCGGGATGCACAAACGAAGAAGTAATGCAGACTGTGACCATTGGTGGAAGATTAAGTTCTCCTGAAGGTTGTCCCATATCTATGTAAGTAAACTTTACTGAATCAATGAAATCGGCAAGTACCATCAACTTTTAACTTTTCCTTTCGTAACTTTATGCAAAAAAAAAGTTTTATGTCTCAATTCTACCCTCTTGATACCGTTAACCAGCGTTTTTCAATCCAAAAGTGGGATATTTTGTCGTTCTTTTCTGTCCGACATGGAAAAGGATTGCAGGGGAACATAACAAGATTACGGAATAGTACGGAAGGATGGCGGTAATGAAATCAATCAAGGAGCCTGAAAAGGGCAATAGAAAGAAAAAGGTTCAAAATCCCTGGTCATTACAATAGAGAATATACCGTCTGATTGCCTTCAGCTAGTTCTTCTACGGCTATTATAACGATGCTGATATTTCATTCCACATATAATAATCGGCTAATGACCGACAAACATTTAAAATAGGTGGGTGGTTGTTGTACGATTTCTCTGGAGCAATTTCACTTTTATTTTTATTAGTATTAAAGATTATCACTAGGAATGGCATAATAAAAAATCCGTACAAGCAAGACAATTCCGTTAATCACAATCTCGTTCAAAGTATTGCAAAATCGAGAGTAGAAGATGTGTAGTAGTGGACTCCTCCAAAGAGAAGTACCATCAGGTGTTTCGAAAAAAGTCTGATCGGCTGCCTTAGGAAGTTAATATATAAAGCGAGGAAACTTAACAAACAGTAATGGTTCTGTGCATTTTAGATTCGAAACAGGTAATTGCCAAATTTCAAAACGGATACACTCTCGTTTAAATATTATTATTTTTCAGATATCATATCATGAGTGAGTGCTGGACAACCGCGCCTGAAGATCGACCATCATTTTCAACCATTGTAAATAAAATAGAAAAATCGTTAGAGGTAATATCAACAGTGCGTTTATCTATTGGCCTAACTAATTATCACTTTCAAAAGCGTTTGGAAATAAAATTTGTCTGTTATTTTTAAACATTATAAGACCTATTTTTACAAATGTCGCATAAATCGTGGGTTCATAGCCTTATGAAAAATTCAAATGATGGCTTTTTCTTACATATAGAAGCTTATTATAGACATCATTACTATCTAAGATCATCTTATGACTGGAGGCAACAAAGCCACTTAAGTACTAGGTGAGTGGGTGTCGATAGAAATTACTTAGATTTGATAACCCATCATATTCTCACTAAAAGTTTTCACTAAAAGTTGACTTCATTGGAATCGCTATAAGCTGACCTTAATACACAAAATTAGCACAAGAAATGTATTGTCGAAGTTCTAAAGGTACAGTGGGAAATTTAAAAAGAAATTTGATATCTAAATTAAAGATAGCTTACCTGGCAATGAGATATAAGACCACTGGCAGCTTTGATTTTGAATAAAAATAATTGGCAGTAACAGTAACCATCAACAGTATGAAATATTCAACCTTCAGTTATTCACTTTTGGGGCGATACTGAATAATATTACCATTTTTGTCCAAATCTGGCAAGAATCGATCCTTTGAGCGTTTATAGCTAAAAATTAATTGCGTTTTCAAGAACGGGGTCAATAACTTATATGAAATATTTTTCGATTTTTTGTTTATTTTCAATAGTGTTTACCACGGGGTGATAATAAACAATATCACCAAGTTTCATCAAAATCCGTCAAGAATTATGCCTTCTAGAGTGTTGAGCGCTGTGAAGGGACGGACATAGGTGACGGCAATATACACTACACATTTCATGTGGGCGTATAAAAACCATGCTGACAACAATATTTCAATATAAGCCTCTTGGTTAAATAGCCGACTTTATAGTTTGAATAACTCTTAAGTGTGAAATCAACTGAATGAATATACTGAACTGAGTTTTGTTAAATTTGATGAAAACTGTTTTGAATGCATAAGAACGGAAAATGTTAATTTCCTTCTTGATGTACATTGGCGTCAACCATGTCTGTCCGTCTAGAAAGGAGGCACAAACCCTAGAAGGCTTAATTCTGGATGGATTTTGACGAAACCTGGTGTGAGTGTTTGCTATTACCCGAAGATAAACCCTATCGAAAATCACAAGAATCGAAACATATTTAGTATGAGATTTTGTCCTTGTTTTCCAAAAACAGGTTCAAGTTTGTCAACACTCTAGAAGGCCCAAATTTACAGATTTTGACGAAACTTAATATTATTCAGTATCGCCCCAAAAGTTCAAAAGAAATGTATGAAAGGTTGAATATTTCACACTCGTGATTGTAACTGTACTGCCAAATTTTTTTTTTCAAAATCAAATTTACTAGTGTGCCTATAATACCTTGCCTGACAAGCTCAATTTGGGATGTGTCATCACAGTGCGAAGACATTCAAGTAAGCGACAGAAATTATAATTATAATTCGGACTACATATTATTTTAATTTCTATCCAACTGCGTGCCATTTACTTTGTATGAATTATGTCATTGTATTACAGTCGGAGTATCAAGCTGATAATCCCCTCCAAAAACATCGTATTTATCACGATATTATTAATCCATCTCTAATCAGGTGGCCATCCGCGTTCAATTGAAATTATATACGTACTATTATCTTTCATGCCCTACTAAATGTTTCTAGATTCCACATGATGACTCGTAATGCAGTAGCAACTAGTCTGGAATCTTAAAGTGATTCGCCATTTTCGCGAGTTGATTTTGATCTTGAATATATGTTAATGGTCTTCAGAACTACTTTTTATTCCTTCAAAAAAAAATGTGTGCAATTTCTTTATCAATCACCTAGTTTCATTGATTTAATCGGTGCTAGCTGAAATATATTCCTTCTCATTAGACTTCTGCTTTCATTACGACCTAGCCTATGGATTCTAAAACTGCAGGCGTGGAAGTTGAATGACAGCGATTCAAATTCAACGAATCATTTAGTTGATATCAGTATTAAAATATTACACTTATATGACACTAGAGTACTGACAAGAGTACAAAAGATGTCCTACTCCTTGTCCAAAATTATGACTGATATTTCACCATATGCTACAGACACCAATATACCCTTGAGTTTACAATACACAAAAAATCCCTTAAAATGGTATACCATGAAATAGTCAATAGACCGGTTGTAGCACAATCTGTAAGAGCATTGGAAACTTTACCTGACGTCATTTGGTGTGTGCAACAAAATGGTGGCTGTGAGCTCTGAACTCATTGGCGTTTGAAAGACCAGTGACATTGAACAATTCTTCTTTCTTCTTTATTACAATTAACCCAGCTGTAAATGGTACAGATAATCCGGGAAAGTGCTATTTCTTTTTTCTTTATTTTTTATGAATTATAATATATCTATTTCAGGATGATGAAATTGCAAGTCGTGAATTGACTGCGTTTTATCAACCTAACTGTGCCGGAGCCCATAGGTTGCGACTTCCAAGTGGATTTATGCCTACGCATGTACAATCGTGGCAGTGCCTTCCAGAGTCATCAGCCTATTTAGAACCCCTGCTCCCAGCATCACCTCAATCACCAAGTGACACTTTCTCAAGCTGTGAACGGGAGGGCAGTCGAGGTCCTTTGTTAGGAAAGACAGATGATCAAGTGGATTGTTCTACTGACGAAGACAGTAACGGATCTACATCAGTTTGCGATGAACCGTATGATGATCATTCATAACATTACAAAAAAAAAAAAAATTCTCAGCGATATGATGCAATCCAGAGGACTAAATAGGTGTATTCACTTTCGGACCATCTCTAATGGAAGATTAATATTCAAATAAAACCAGGTTATGTTTGCCTTTTTTCAAATAATCGCCGATTGAGACTTTGTTATTCTTTCAGTTACAACGATACATGATGAGCATTTTTGACACTATCAAGCGGTAAAAAAGAAACCCTATCTTAAAAGCTTACTTAATATGTGACGTAAATTGTTTTTCACAAGTAAATAAAGGTGAATGTGATAGGCACTTTTGACATATGTAATGAAAGAAAAACAAAACATGTCATTATGTTCTAGGATTTCTATATATTCTATATACCCATTTGTGAGTTAAAATTTTTCAATAATAAATAAGCACTTTTAAAATATGTTAGAAAAGAAAAAAGTCTTGGTGTTTTAGAATATTGGCTTATTAATTTAATTTTACATACATTATTATATTAGATATTTTATATGCGACCGAAATCGAGTTCAGAAATATAGAATTGGTAAAGTAAGAAATAATGTTCTAACATTCCTTTAAGGGACTGATGCGCCATGATGGAGCGTTGATTTGAGTCTTGAATATATGAAAATAGTCTTCAGAAATGTACGAAAATAGCATAATTCCTTCAAAAATATCTCAAACTAAGATTTTCTTATCCAATTTTCATAGTTGTCTTTTTTATATATGCCTGTGGCTCAAGAAAACACGACGCGTCTTTTTAACTCTCTTAAAACACAAATAGATTTGAAGGCTGTGACGGTGAGCTGTTAACACTATTACTGTGGACTTAGCTGAAACATATTCCTGTTTGTAAGACTAAGGTATCATAAGTTGAAAAAATGGCGCATCTGTCCCTTTAAAATTTCTTTCAAAAAATTCGACAAGTTTATATGTGTTTAATAATCATCCAAAATATATCGGAAAATCAACACTGATCATCTTCATTCGTTCATCTTCAGAAAATGTATATAAGCCATATATATTTATACATATAAAATAGATATTAACGACAGTTTAGTGGATCTTGTTTCGTCTCTATGGTGATACATATAAACTATAATTGAGAATATATATTTACGACAGATAAGTGTTTCGTCAAACAGTATTTATAGGGTTTTGTTTTTTCGAGAGTGTCTCGTATGGTTCCGTTGTATCAAAATGGCAAGGAAAAGTTCAAGACGAAAAGAATAAAACCCAAAAAAAGTAAAATAAAAATACCATATCTTCTCAACAGATCTTAGCCAACGCCACTATATCGAAACTTATAAAATGTATAATCAATCTGATTAAAATTCACCATCCAATACCCGAATAAATTATTATGTACTGCGATTTCCAGGTCACTTAACTATTAGACCAATCAAGTCGCATATTGTCGAAAGCTTTGTTAACCGCATTATGGTATAATTTTTATATCTAATTCGGTTGTCATTTCAGGAGTGACATAAAAATACAGTGTAGGTTTGGGTGCGGCTTCCCGTGCGGTTACAACAAGCGATCATCGCGAATCTTCGCAGCCTGCATTGATCGAGTCCTGGACTCATTCACCACCACCGTTTAAATTTTCAATTCAATAGTGACATGAAAGTACAGAGTGGGTTTTTTTTCTACTGTATGATGTTAATTACACATTGAACTGACCGCCTTACCTTGCCTTTTAGCAACACAACACACCGAAAGTCGGCTGTAACTTTTTGACTTTTTTAAGCATTGGTCAATGGAATAGAAAACTTAGACGAGCGTCACAAAACTGAGTAGGTTGCTAAATGTAATCATACCATAAGGTCCTCATATTAATAATTGCTCATTAGAATGGTTTACATCGTAGTTTTTTATATATTTGTTTCATTGTGTTTGTTATTAAAATAATATGGTATTGCTGTAACTGTTTTTGTCTTCTACCTTACTTTGGAATACTTTACCCGGACACATTTACGTAATGGTGAGAAAAAATAATGCGTAACATAACATTTTTTTGTTAATTATTTGTTTGTCTTCGTCTAAGTTCTAATCAAGAAAGCTGTAGCTTATAACATTCCAGGTTCCTTTTTATAATCTTGTCGAGAACATGCCGTATCAGACTTCCTTTCTCCCTAGTAAGACGTCAGTAAGTCACCAATGGGGGACAACTGCAATGAACGAATTAGAATTATCAAACACGACCTGTCCTTTGTTGGTTGATAAATCAACAGAACTAAAGCTTTTCGCCCTTTTTCCTCCTAATTGGACTAGAACGTAGGATTTGACCTCAGTTGTTTTGCGATTGTCAATATATGGGTCTGTATACATTACCTTTGAT